TCTGTTCCTGGCAACTCTAGTCTTTTCTACGAGACCTCTATTTTTTTTTATATAAGCCAAGCAAATAAAGCGGGGGAGAAGTGACGGCATAGATAATTGCAGACAGCTAGAGATAGAGACGGATAATTGAGTCAAGCGCGGTAGTGACCGTTAGTAAAGTGCGTGAATCGTTGTGAATTATAGCGTGTGTTTAGGTTAAAGTGACCGTGGAAATTAAGTGTATTGGAAAGTTGTATAGAGAAACAATAAACTAGTTTTATTTAAGAAAGGACTTGTATCGCTAAAGTTTCATCGGAAAGAAATTATACGGGAAATTAACAAACGAAAAGAGATGTAACAATATCAAAATAAAGTTAGTTATTTTTGCGACACTAGATAATATAATTCTTTAGTGCACGTGCAATACAAAATAACTTTATAAATGTAATAAATATAATATGAACATTTATGTGTCATTTCTGTTGTTCAAGAATGTTGAGTCTTGGAAAAATTGAAAGTGGCGACACGTTTCTAAATAACTGTGTAGCTCTAGAATGTTAGTATATGTAGGCTGTAATATAATCCTTGCTTAGTTTCAGTCTTGAGTTTCTGGTTTTGGTCAAGCTAGAATGTAACGTTCCGTTTTGGGAAAACACGGCATGGTAAACATTCAAAAGGCCACATCTAAAATAAGGATGAACATCCTTGATCGAGCCTTACTCGGTGCATCAATCTGGGTGATTTTCCACTGAACTTGAACCTTCTCGATCACGTGATTCCTTAATCGATTGAACCCAAAACGTTTTAGTAACATAATTAAAACTTGAAACCAACAGGCGCCGTTGGGAAGGGGGGGGGTTAACAAAAAAAATCTTGTTATAACCTTTATTTGGATACTCTCGTCGTACATATCTGTGGAGCGCGGGATTTGTCTTGTATTTAGAAGTTATAAATACTAATGATAATGCCAGTATTGAATTTGATACTTGCTTTGAATCTACGCTGAAAATTCTTACTGTTAATTACCAATAAATATGATTACTTGGGCAATGAATAATATCTTGTATATCTTTCAAATTATAAGCTTATTTTTATACTTAGTGTGGCTAAAAATTATGTCGCCCAAGTAGTTACGTGAATGTAAACACACGTAATATTTCCTGGCTGTAGTTTCTGATACAATGAAATGGAAAGAGGTCGACCTCACACGTAACGTGTGGCAACACGTATTGAAAATTCGGTCCAGAAACGTCCAATAGTTTGATTTTTTGGCTCACACAACACAAATAAACCTGACGACGTCAGGAAATAATGTCCTTGTTAGTTAAATACATCTGTATGCTATTAAACGCTAATGCTTTAGGAGGTTATGTAACTAAGAGTTAAACAGTTTTGTTTTTATTCAGTTTTTTGTATGTTTTTGCCAGCTTCATGTGTTGTAAGTAGTAAGCATGTCTTTGAGGGCGTCAGCATGTACGCAAACACTTCCGGAATGATTCCTGATACCAATACAAATTGGTTATTTATCTTTCATCAGTATCTTAACTTAAATTCTCATCTCCTTATTATATTTCTTTTACCGAAATGTATGCTGGGAAAGTATTTAGTGACTGCCTATTGTTGAAGCACTTGTAGTGGGTGGCTGAATTGTTGAAGAGATTGTAGTGAGTGACTGCCTATTGTTGAAGAACTTGTAGTGGGTGGCTGCCTATTGTTGAAGAACTTGTAGTGGGTGACTGCCTATTGTTGAAGAACTTGTAGTGGGTGACTGAATTGTTGAAGAACTTGTATTGGGTGGCTGAATTGTTGAAGAACTTGTAGTGGGTGACTGAATTGTTGAAGAACTTGTAGTGGGTGACTGCCTATTGTTGAAGCACTTGTAGTGGGTGATTGAATTGTTGAAC